AACTGACACTGACTTATGGGCCTTTTAGCGCCTTTTTGTCCGGATTGAAATTTAGTGTGAGAAATCCCGGTTTAAATTTATGCGCACGAGAGGTTTGTGCGGCGCCTCCGATAGATTGATTGATTGGTTGCACGCTGGGTGACATGAAATATTGCCCTTTTCCATCACTTACATCTGAGTGAGGAAAGAAAAAAAATGTGAACAAAACGGGAACAAAATGTTGCTTTTTGAATGGTAAAATGAATAATTTTTTTTATATATATTTGATATTTTATCACTCATTATCAATGTTTTAATGATAATTAGAATAATATGAACGATATAAACAGAAAAAAAAAACACAAAAAATGCACCTTAATCGAGGAATTATGTAGGAAATTTTTAGAAATTCCTCATAAATATTACCAATGTTGTTCAAATTTTATTTATTTTCCCCTAAAAATGAATTTCAATCATTTATATAATTATTAACGATTTTTTTAAATATAAAACATTGGTATCTTTTATTAAATTTTAATTGTTTGAAAATATATAATTAACTCAAATTTATGTGTAATGTGGAGAGCTTGACAGAATGGGAAACTGAAAATTGTGAAATAAACTCAAAATTAAGCTGTTCAGAAGCGAATATGCATGATTGTGTCACTTTCGCTTCCCTAAACGAATTATTATCAAATAATCCAGTCACCGACGTGAACAAATTCGCTCGTCTGCTTCCATACCCAAACAAATTTGTTAAGTGACGGGAAGAGACACGAGCTAGCATCAGGTGTTGTCCCAGGCCACACGACCGGAATGGGAGCAACACAACCAGCAAAACAAACACGCCTGATGGATGGAGGGCTGGTTGACAGGTGAATTAGAATCGCATCAAAATCAGACTGCCGTGTTGCGGAGCGCTTCCGGCTGATTCAGTTGATCCGACCTTCCTTCCATGTGTACAACATAAACAAATGCTCAAAGCGCCTTTAACATTTAAAAAAAAAAAAATAGAAAATTTGAGCAATTATTTCAAATAGAGTAAAAAAATTTATTTATGAATCATAATGATTTGGTAATAAATATTTTACGGTGCAATTAAGCGTTTTGTTTTTTCTGGTTCTTCAGTACGGAAAATTTTATTTCATTTCATCGAGTGTCCACTTCTTCTCCAGATGAAGTATTTAATGGATTTCTTTCAGTTTTTCCCGTTGTTGAAAATTTCCATCAGATACTTTCATACTCGATTATATTTTGAAAGAGAGAAGATGAATGATTTAATTGGGTTTTAGAAACCTGACATTGCTTTCCTCGTAAAATGACTAATTGTATGGAAAAAAGCAGCATTTAAAAAAAAAATAGTCCACTCTAATTGTCCACTCCAACTAATTCCACTCCATGATAATTGATAAATTTGAGTCTCAACAAAAGTTCATTACTTTCCAAGCAAGAGCAATACTCGTTTTTTCTTCTTCTTGCCACTGCTAGTTTATTGGAAAACGCTTTTCCCAGCAGGAACAGAAAATTGACCGTTTCTTTTTCGGAGAGGGCTGCGAAATTGCCACTTTGCCGTTCACTTCTCGTCTAATCAGCTTTATCGCTGCCTCTTTATATTACATTGTGTGCTGATGGCCATCTATCGCAGAATGCCCTGAGGTGACTCTCAAGCCAGCTTCTCTCTGTATTACCTCAACGCACACATCTGTGCACTGGAAAATAACTCCTTTGTGTCTCCGGACAAGAGTAATTTCTCAAGCTCTGATCTGATTTGGAACGGGAGGATTTTCTTGAGAGGAGGTCGTCCATGTAAGTAAATCTATATTAACTTTAAACCTACGTGGGATTAAAGTTGTGCTACTTGTGTGGTAAGAGATTGAATTGAAGATGAAATTTCTTTGTACTATTAAAAGGAATGAAATTTAATAGAAAAAAATTTAAAACAATTTAATCAGATTTTACTTCTATTTGAAAAAATTCTGATTGTTAAAAATTATACTTCTTAAAATTGAATACTTAACAAATAAACTTGGAGAAAAGAATATTAAAAGCAAATTAAAAAATGATCAGAAATTTAATTGTAATACGAGAGACTGATTCTAATGAAAAAATGAATCAAATATATTTATATATTTATATTTATATATTTATATTTCAATTTGAATAAATTCTTTAGAAAATTAAATGAAATAGGAAATAGGAAAAACTATGGTATCTGAAAAGTTTCCCGTTTGGAAAAGTTAAGTTTTTTATTTTTTTTTTCTAAATTACATTACATTTTTTCTTGATTTTTTTATCTCTTTATTTCAAATTTTTTTGAACAACTTTTAAAAAGAAAAAAAAATCAATTTTGGCAAGCCGGGAAGTATTTATGAAAACTCCCCTTTCCAGAAAACAGTGCGTGTTGCCATTTCCGAGCGCAAACACGGACGCCTCATTACCCAAACTAATCTCCCGGTCGAGCAGTCCGGCGAAAAATGCACGCCCAAGTTTGTCCATATTTCACGCGGCTGCACCCCGACGCGTCAAAATCACGTGCGAAACGGGGCGGCGGCGCGAAAGGGCGGCGAACAAACAACCCCTTTCCTGCCCGCCAGCGTTTGGCGCTAATGATTGATGAGCAGCGGCCGAATTAACAAAACTATTCGGTCAGCCAGAAATGAAAGAGAAAAAAGACTGATGGATGGTCTCGTTATTATTGTTGCGACCTTTCCTCGTGGAAAAATGTAGAAGAACAACACTTTTCTTTCTTCCTGTGTGCGGTTTTTTTTATTGCCTCTAATGAATAAAAAACGCTTCGGACGAGATCGTTTGAAAATGAGGAAGAAAGAAAGCTTTTACGAGCCGAGTTCTTTTGTGTGTTTTATTCGTCGTCTCTTCGTCGCTGTTGCGGCTATAAATCACAAAGCAATAAATTCAGTACAGGCCGGCGGCGGGCGAGCCGAATGAGATAAATCACTTTGGAGTGGAATAAAAACAGAGAAAAGGCTGAGCACCGCCGGCTGACATAATTGCAGCAAGAAATGCAAAATATTGCGCGCGTGACACTTGGGAACGACGAGCTGCAACTGACGGGCAGACCGATTGTTATTTATTTCACTTCTTACTCCCCTCCGTTGCCAAAGAGAGGCACAAATTTAATCTGCAAATATATCAATTGATTATTATTATTATTAATTTTTTTTTCAAGTTAATGTAATGCTAGAAATAGTGTAGCATTGATTTTTAAAGTGATAATAAACCATGTTTTTTTTAAACAATTTCTTATAAATATGAAAAAATTTAAAGGTTCGTTTCAGATATAAATTTCCTAGCATTTATGACTGATTTTTTTAATATTTTTTTTTGTCAATGAAATAAACAATCATTCAAATTATTAATTCACAAAGAGTTTCCTTTTTTATATTAAATTAATATAGTTTTGATATAATTTCAATCATCCATATAAAATGGAAAAGTGAATATTAAAAATTTATTGCTACAAACAAAATTAATTTTTTTCTGAATATTAAACATTCACTTTTTTGTTTTATTTACTCTTTTTACTCTTTTAACGCGTTGCTCTTCATGAATTATTTGCTATTGCAAATGTAAAAATCTGTTCTGCAGACTTGGACCGATCTTTGGATTAGCCGCATGACAAGTTTTGAGGTCTGCAAACTTTGTCCTTTAAAACTAGTTCCAAACTCTTCCAGGCTTTGCACATTTCACCAACGGATTATATAAAATATGTAAAAAGCTTGTTTAAGTTTCGCAAAATACTTTTTATCCGTGTTTTACTTTCTGATCGAAATGTATACCACTTGCGAATTTTCCACTCCCACACAACATTGCGGGCATTGCTTCTTGATGCTCGCAATAAACAAGGGTTCGGAAACCGCTGAAGTTGGCGTGCGTGCCATTTGACGGGCAGTTTGCTTTTACAGCGCAAAAAGGTAAAAAAAAGCCGGGACGATTTGCAGCGACTTTACACGTCTTCGACTAATAAAACGCAGAGCTTTCATTCAACCTCAATGTCGATCTGTCTGATTGAAGCTCGGTAGGAATTCCAGTAGATTGGCACACCACGTATTTCTTCCGCTAACATTGACGTAAGATTATTTTACAACTGGAGATTTCGATTCCTTGCGGTTTGCTACCAAAAGGAAGAAAGTTAAAGAACGCTATGAATTTATACTTATTGTTAGTGTTTTTATTTTAGATTTTTCACGGCAAATTAGTTTAAATTGTTTAAAGAAAATAAGAAAAATGCATAATTTATTTTTTAGTAAAATTTAAAATTCTAGATAACATTTCAATAAACTTTAAATGGTATACAAAGAAAATAAAAAGTTACTTTTGTCTTGATTAATTCATTTTAAATTTAAATTTTTAACATCCAAATTATGGTGGGTTTTTTTATAAATATTAATTAAAAAAATTTCATGTTCATGCCACGAAAGAAAAAATACAACCTAATTTTAAAATTTCCCTCACACTCGAGGGGTTTTATGACACATTTTGCAAATTTCTGCGGTTGAATGTGAAAGTTGTTCTCCCCTTCCTTGTTGCGGATGCTGCCGCGTTTTGGTGTAATTTTCGCCCCCTCGCCCAAAGTACCGCCGCATATGCGCCCGTCGCATTAGAATATAAGCTGGCGAGGGACGCAAAACATCGAGGGGCACAGAAACAACCACTGTGCTTGGTGCATATTATAATATGATTATCTGTTGTTGTTTGGCGTGTTAAATGACAGGAACCAGTGCCCCATTACCAGCCAGGCACCATCAGCCGCTCCCACGCACTTTCAAAAACCCCCAAACAGCTGTGCACATTTTTTGTCCGTAATTTTTTCTCAGCATTTTTCTTTCCTCTTAATAATATGCATCGCCTATTATCCGTTTTGAATGGATCGGAATTCAGCGTGTGTTATCTCTTTGCTTCGTCGCCCCCTCTTCCAACAGATTTCGCCGGATGGGCCACATCTACAGATGTTCCCACATCCTCACAAGTCACTCTGAAAAGAGACGCCAACTCAGTTCAAATCAACAAGGACGCGTTGAAAGATGTGGCCCGAGTTGTGCCGACTTTGCGAGCGGCCAGCGGCCAACGGTGGATACCGAGGGGCCGAAGTGGACAAAAACAAGTTTGCAGAGTGGTGCCTGAATTTTTTGGGCACAACTTTGGCCGATGAAATTGAAGACGACGACATTTTCTGCTACTTTTGCGTTTGGGACGCTAGGTAATTACATATCCATGGCTATTATTTTTATGTTTTTTAAAATTTCTTACTAAAATTTATGAGGAATAGATTTTTGGCGCTTAATTGTATTTAAAGCATTTTCCACGCATTGCAGATTTTATCTTGGAGAGTTACAGAGCGAAATGTGCGTGGAAAACCGTACAAGAAGCTGCAATTTAAACTTGCGCTGGTGGCCAGATAAGGTTGCTGAAAAAAGTGTTCAAGTCCTGTTTGAAAGCTACACAGGTGAGGGACATTTCTTGCATGCCAAATTCCTGAATTGAATAGCAGTGGCTCATCTGGGTGGTTCGTCATATTTCAATTTCAGAATTAAATTTGTTGAAAAACTTCAACACTTAGGGATTGAATAAAAATCGGCACTTTAACTATATATTTTCATATTTTACATTGAAATATTGAGTCAAAACTAAAAAAGGAAATGGAAGTAAAATATTATATTAAACAGTTTTTCAAGGTGTTTACAAATTAATTTTCTGAAGCATGTAGGATAGGACATTATTTTCCTATAGATACAATGAACTACTTTCTTAACATGTATTTTAAATTCAATAAATCAAATATTCAGAGTTTTCTTTTAAGATTTCCATTTTATAGGATTAGGAAAGTAAAATTTTGTGTTATTTTTTACAGCTGGAAAAGTGCAGCAGTGTTGGGTTCCTTTGACAAAAGCGCTCCACAAACAGAAAACGGTTTTCTCTTCTGATGAAAAATCTCAACTAGAAGGCCCCACATTTCAATGTTGTTATTGCCTGAAAACTTTTAAATCAAAACCATGTTGGCGTTGGCACATAAAAAAGCAACATGCCGATATTGCAATTAGGTGTAATTATCATACGCTGTGCTGTTCTTATTTTAAAAGTGTAGAGGATAGGGACGCTCATTTAAGAATGGTACATTTAAAGCCAAAATTGTTGAAATTATTTGAATGCATATATTGCCCTATGAAGGACCTAAGATCAAAGAGAAATTTGCACAATCACGTTAGATCGAAACATTCTGATGTTTCTATCACGTGTCAAATGTGTCAAATGAATAATTGCTTATCTTATTTTAAAAGCCAGGCAGATTTGAAGTCGCATTTCGAGAAAATCCATCAACCACTTGAACGCAGAAAAAAGTTTAAATGTTCACTATGCAATTTTAAATGCTTAACGAAGTATGAACTTTCTCACCACAAGGCCAAAAAGCATAAAAAAGTAAACATAACTTCACATTGCCCAAAATGTCCAGCGAGCTTCTCAAGTGGAATCAACTTGAAGTACCATATATCTTCTGTACACAATTTTAGGACCTGTCCTGCTTGCGCTTCGCATATTTCGACCAGTCGATTTGTTGACCATTTGAAAATACGCGTGTGCAAGTATTGTAAAAGTGAATTTGACTGCCAAGGGTTGCACAGAAATCATAAACAGAAATGCAAACATTCAAAGAAATGCAGTACTTGTTTTAAAGCTTTTTATTCCTATTCTACTTTGAAGCGACATGTTCTCAATCATCATGTAGTTGAAAATAGAATTGTCAAAAACGAAAAACGGAGACCCAAGTGTAAATTTTGCTTCAAGTATTTTTTAAGCATTGGCTGTTTGAACAATCACCTTAGAACTATGCATGCTGTCGAAGGAATTTACAAATTTCAGTGTGCTCATTGCAGCAAAAAATTCGTATCAAAACAAAGCATGAAGATGCACTTCATAGTTGTGCACAGCCTGCTAGAAAAAAAACATGACTGTAACCATTGTGAAAGAAAATTTCATCTTCTCTACCAATTGAAAAAACATGCAAAGTCGCACTTAAGAATGGAATGTGAGATTTGTAAAATGGAAGTAAAACCAGGTAGCTTAATAGATCACATTAGGACTTGGCATGATAAAATATTGCACGAACTTGAGTGTGCGCATTGCAGCAAGAAATTTACTTGTAAAGGAGGTGTCGAGAGACACTTGGCAGTCGTGCACAACCTGATAGGAAAAAAACATGCCTGTAAGCAATGCAAAAAAAAATTTTATTTTCTCAACGAATTGAAAAGGCATGAGAGCTCGCACTCAATTGAAAGAGTGAAATGTAAAATTTGCGAAATTGAATTAAAAGAAAATTCTTTAAAATGGCACATTAGGTCCTTACATAACGTCAAAAAATTACACGTATTTGAGTGTGCGCATTGCAGCAAGAAATTTACTTGTAAAGGAAGTGTCGAGAGACACTTGGCAGCCGTGCACAACCTGATAGGAAAAAAACATTCCTGTAAGCAATGCAAAAAAAAATTTTATTTTCTCAACGAATTGAAAAGGCATGAGAGCTCGCACTCAATTGAAAGAGTGAAATGTAAAATTTGCGAAATTGAATTAAAAGAAATTTCTTTAAAATGGCACATTAGGTCCTTACATAACGTAAAAAAATTACACGTATTTGAGTGTGCGCATTGCAGCAAGAAATTTACTTATAAAGTAAGTGTCGAGAGACACTTAGCAGTCGTGCACAACCTGATGGAAAAAAATCATGCCTGTAGCCAATGCCAAAGAAAATTTTATTTTTGCTACGAATTGAAAAAACACACAACATCAAAACACTCAAATAAGAGTACGTAATGTGAAATATGTAAAAGGAAATGAAAGCAAAATCTTCAAAGAGGCACACATGCAGATACATGAATTAAATTCACTGAGTGAAGAAGCCGCAGAGAAACTTGAGAGCCAAAAATGATTCTCGAAGCATAATTTTGAAGGACATAAATTTACATATTTATCATTTTATATTCTAAAACTAAATAATACCTATTTCAGTATGCACAATTATTGTAAATATCTATGAAAAAATATTTTTCTATCTGCAGTCAACTTGTAAATAAATGTTTATAATTTCCGACTTCTGTAAAAGGTGCTGACTTTTTCTACCATGCCAACACAAAAATCCAACAATTCCACAAAATAGAACCATTTTAATATAATGCTTTTCATATAAAAAAAAAAAAAAAAAATATCTTGGAAATAAAAAAATTTTTTGTCGATTTCTGATGGAGAATTAATGTATTTTTTTGAGAATGAGTTTCAATAAAACAAATGTAAATATACGGTTTAAATTATTTGTTTCGATTTCCTTTAGACAAATTGAACCTATTAATGAAACTATTATTTTAGTATAATGTATAATTTTTTGATTGATAATGAACGTCAAACGTAGTGTCTTACTGTATTGTATACACACAGAATTGCAATATTTAATTTAAATTTAAATAAAGGTAAATATAAATAATAATTCCTAAATTAGGTCGGCGGGCTTAACTCTGAAGTTTTGGTGAAATGCGAGAGCTTTACGTTTAATTTGCAGCAGTCCAAAATTAATTTAGCGCAGCGCGTTCGTAAGTTGTATCCGCGCTCTCGGTTGGCATTTTATCGCAAAGTCGTAAACAAAGGTGAGGTTTTATGCGATGTTAAATATGGCCCGAGCCGCGCGCCGGCGCCCAAACTTTTAATTATAAACATCAACTACATCGCCGCTGCTTTGCATTTAACACGCGGCGCCGTGTTCATGCAGTCGCAGACATGCCCACATGCTCAGCGTATGAATTTGCTCTCGCGGATGAGGTACCAGCGGCGGCCTCGTCGGGATAATTCACCGCCGGTAGCCGAAATTTACATGCAAATGACTGTGTTCGAGCAAATTAAGGGCTGGTACTTTTACTGCGTTTTAATGAGAAGCTTTTGAGAGAGCAAGTTGTGTGCATCTTGTTTCAAAAATACAAATGAACAACGTAATTAAGAGTTTCTGTGTCCCTATAAAAGCTTCACAATTGAAACAAATCTTTTTTTAGAATGTTTATAAAATCAAATATTTCTTCCTCAATTTTTATTTGAAAATTCAAGCATTTTCACTTATAAAAGATTGAAACCGGGCGAACCTCGTTGCAAAGAAAAAAATGAAAAAATAAAGGACAACTGACCCCAAAGGCGACCTGCGGTCTGCTGGTACTTTAAAACCTAGGATTTCTTGTGTCCGACTAAAACTAAGTGGGAGGAATTAATAAAAAATTAAATTTGAAACGCAGAAAATTCTAGAGCAAGTGAGTCAGCCAATCAGCGCGCCAGGAGGCGGTGCGAGCGGCCTCGCTCGGGTATAAAACCCCGCAGCAGCCACCGTTCAGCATCAGTCTCTCGGACTTCTCCGAAAGGAGAGGACCGGCACTCAGGTTAGCTGATGAGGCCTGGATTGGCCGAAACAGCTGTCCTAACCAGTAGTGTGGCAGATTACTGTGTTTTTGCCAGAAAAGTCTTTGGGTTCATTGCCCTGGAAATTTCTGCCAAAATCACAGTATGAAGCTGTTGACTGACTCTTTTGCTTAATTAATTTCTGCAATTTTTGTTTATTAAAATTAAAATCTCCCATTTTATTTTTAATTTTTTATTAATTCCTCCCACTTAGTTTTAGTCGGACACAAGAAATCCTAGGTTTTAAAGTACCAGCAGACCGCAGGTCGCCTTTGGGGTCAGTTGTCCTTTATTTTTTCATTTTTTTCTTTGCAACGAGGTTCGCCCGGTTTCAATCTTTTATGAAATCCACCTCGAGTGTTACCATTCAATTTTCACTTATATTTTTGAATATTTTTTCTAATAGTTTGGTTTGATTCATCTCAATATGAGCAGAGACTGCTCAGTGATTGTGTTACGTCAATGAACTTAATTTATAACTTAAGTGATCTTAATATAAGTTAATGGACTAGCATAATTATCTTGTTTATAATTTATTGTTTAAAATTTGAGGATTGGAGTGGTTCGTTCCAGCCCCAGTCTGGTTCGTTCATTCTCACAGATATTGTAAGAGAAATTGTAAAAATTCCTTTCTGCACTGTATAATAAAACAAATTTTATCGGAAAAATGTGATCATTTATTTTATTTTTTTATATATTAGGAAAGTTAATTTTGAAAATTAATCCATTGGAAATTATTTCGTTCAAAATGTATTAAACTCTGTACACTAAATATTTTTATGACTTGATTTTCATTCTGAATATTATTTCTACTTGGGGTTTTTCTTTTTCTTTTTTCAAATTTTTTGCAGAAATATTTTAATCAAATTAAAAAACATGGTTATTTTTAAATTTCTTTGAGAAAAAATCCCTTTAAATAACCTGTTTCCTTTGAAAAAAAGTGTTCTTAATAATTTCTAGAAATTTTAAATTTGTAAAATAGCATTTTACATTAGTGTATTTATTTTATAATTCATATTTTTGCTTATTCCTCAAAATGAACTTCATTTAGGACTTTTATAACTTAAATTTGAGCCGAAATTTTCCGTTTAAGAAAAATACAGTCTGTAAGGTTTTGTGAAAAATATATTTTGAGGAAAATTTGCTAAATAAATATGCTTGAAAAATCATCATGAAAACTGTCTTTTTAAGTAATATAAAGAATAATTCTATGTACACTTAAAATAAAGCTTCTCAATTTAAAAAATGTTGGAAATCTGTATTTGAAGGAGTATTTTAATTATAAATTAGTTTTGTTATTGAAAATTTATTTAATAAAACGCATCTCATTCCCAAGTCAAAGAACTTTCTGTACATAGGTGGCTTGTAAACTGCAACCCTAATTAAATTTCACTCAACGCCAAAGTTCCGACTTGACGAACTATATAAGTCGGATCTTCGCCGATGCCACGTCTTGCCCCGGCAGATTGCCCTTTGACCCATCAAGCAATATATCAAGACGCGTCTCCTCGTGCCGTGATGCAACCCTTGATAGAATTTGCTTTGCACACCCCATTAGCCTATTAGTCGCAAGTTTGCCAAGGTGCTTGTTTGCCTCTGTTTTGCTCTCTACTTCAAAAGCTGCTCCTCTCTGTCCGTGTCCCATTCTAATACATAACTCGACCGGGAAATTAGCCCCGGGCAGAAATCAACTCAGCGGAAGCCACCTTTCGTTGTGTAATTACGGCCCCTGGGTATATTCGCAAAAGCGGTGCTCATCAAATTGCATTAGCACCGGATTTGTGCAGTGCTAAATTTCCTGCAAACTTGGCTAAATTGAAATGGATGGATGGTGGAATAATTATCACCAATTATTATGTCCAAGATTTCAATGAAAATATCAAAAGTATCTAAATTTAAATTGTTAATTCAAAATTAATTTATAAATCTCTCACCTGATTTTGCAAAAGTCTCTAGAGGATATTTTTATCATTCAAATGTAGAAACAGTTTTAAGTTCTAATTTATGACTGTAAAAAATTAAAAAAGAAATTAATATAATTTTTAATAATTTAATTTAATCATTTTTTTTCTTTTCCATCTTTGTGAATTCACACAGAGTTAAGTGCGAGCAATTTAACATGTTCAGCCGCAATTGTGTTGGAGCAGCCCGGATTTATTTCTCGAGCGCCGAGTTTGCATACAAAAGTAGCAGATTCCTCGCCATTCATACGCAAATAGAGCGGCAGGCTGTTTTATTTCGCACGTGACGTGCCTGCACAAATCCCGCTCCATTCAATTAAAAGCGCTGTAGCTATGCATTCTCCTTGCCGATCGCGTCTCGCTGCTGCAAAAAAGAAAAATATTGGGCAAACAATAAGCAAATCCTGCTCAAGGTAATCCATCGGAAGTCCCCACCTGTGTTCATAATACATTTTTTCCAGAACGGCAGAAAACAATTCCAGTTTTGAAGGTAAAAATTTCTGCAATTAATAGAATTTCAGTCTTTTGGTTTATTAAATGATTTCTTGTAAGAAGCAAGGCTGCGAGGATCACTGTCTTAAGTATTTTGGAAGTTTTGATCTTTTCTCCAGTGGGAATGTCTTTGTTTTTTCTTTAGCAATCTGACAACTTTTTCCCTCGTTGTTGACAATTTTTGTAACAATTTGGACTAATAAACAATAATAATGAATCCAAAATATTCAATTTTTCATTGAAATTCTGTATTGTTGTTCCTATGTTGATTTTTAGGATTGTCTCAAGTAATGCTTGCCTTTTTTAAAATTTTTTATCAACACTGACAACAGGTTTTTAGTATTAGCCGTTTAGCCACTAGTAAAATATAATCAAATACATCAATAATATTGTTCTTAAAATAAAAAAATTAAAGAATCCAAAATTATAATTCACAAAAAAGTGTTGCTTTTGAAATCAGTACTTCTTATTTCTTTTGCCAACTTATAATGTAATTCTTTAGAAAGTAAATTAAAATTTTCAAAAAAAATTGTATTTTTTATATATTTATTTTCAATTTTATTTTAAATGTTTACCTTGTCGCTCTTGTCTCAACTTCGTAAGTATATCACACACAATAAAACACAAAGTTAATCTGCAGGAAAGTGCGTCAAAATTCCTAACCAAGTTACAATTTCACACACATGCGTTCAAACCGAATTATGTTCTCTCTGGAAAGAAAATGAAATTACGCGGCAGCTTCGTCAGCAGCGACGCTGGCGGGCGGATTAATTTCGGAGCAGAAAATCGAGTGTGCAGCTCTTGGTTTTGCATAATAGAAGAAAATTTTAACATACACCCTGCTTCTCTGAACGGAGGCACTCGTTCGACTAATGCTCCTTTTATATTATGCACAATATTACGATTTTAAATGTATTCCGCCTGCGTGCAATTAGCAGCGTCTGGCTGCCGAATTAATGCGCGCCGCGTGTTTGCTTTTGCTCCTCTCGTTTTCCGCGCGATGTTGTGTATGGGAATGACAGGCGCCCATTAATACCAGTAATGCCGCTGACATAATATTTAGGCAGACGAGCGAGCAGAGAGGCAGGCAAATTTCATTAGCAAAAACACAACCGCGCCCTCTCGCACACTTGCTCGCTGCAGAATTTATAATTCTCAAAGAGGCTTCAAAGCAGGCGTGCACATCAAGGCCCGTCTGCGTTCGCCGCTTTCTGGCTCAGGTGCTGCTGCTGCAAAACACACACGCATGCATGCCGGAGAGTGAAAGACGAACCCTCAAGAAAGGCGCGTGTTTGTGTCGCGGCGGCCATGAATTTGTAATTAATGCGTGCCCTTTTTGTAGGGGAGCAGAACAGCGTTAAATTATTGTGCCAAGAGTTGCAGAGTTTTGAATTAAAAAACGTAACTTGACATCAAAGTAAACGATTTTGAGCCAAATCGAATAATTTTGTCAAAAACATTTATCTTATCGAATGACTCTTTTGGCCATAGCAAGAAAATAAGTTAAAAAAATCAACAAGATTCACCTCAATTGTGAAATTGTAGGTTACTGAAATGTTTGTAAAAATTTAATTTCCTCGATTTGCAGTTTATTAGACCTCGAATTGGGTTCAATTCAATTCAATTGGGTTGCAGATGGATAATAAAGTTTTTATTGTGCGTTTTAATTTTTAAACTTGTATGTCAATTTTTCGCCTTAAATAAATCATCCAGCTAGAGAAACAGTTTCAAATTAATATTATATCTCAAATTTAATACTTTTTATTTAACAATTTATATTTTGTTTTGATATGTTTAACTTTATACCAAAATACGAAACGCAGAAACACTGTCATCAATTATGAAACAATGCAACAGCGTTTCCAATTACGCTAAAATGCCATAATTTGATATTGCTAGAGCAATTTGAAATTTTTAAACGGGCAGAAGCAGAACTAATTTTGAATTTCTGGCTAAAATGAAACAAAAGAGAACGTTATGAGGCTCCAAATGAAACGTTTTGTTCGGTAAAATAAAATTATTCGTTTGTTGGTATAATGCTTACCCCAGGCAAGATCTGAAAATTGTGTGCGAGTACCATTAATTAATTATGGTTAATTTATTATTTCACGTTGTAGAGAGTGATTTTGGAATAACAAAAAACCAAGTAAATTTTTATCAGAAAAATTAAGTGAAGGAAAGAAAAAGTTTTTAGATCGTCATTGAATTTATTAATTTTACATCGCACTTTATCGTTCATGAAATTATTTTAACGTTTCCGTATTTCGCTTTTGTGGTAGGCAAATTGTTAAGCAGCGTCTGGCGGCGCAGCATAAATTTCAGGCTGATGTCTAATTGATATAAATTTTTCTTTAAAATTAATCACTTGTCCTGTATGATTTTTTTTTTAATTTTTGTAATTTTTCAAATTTATAATCGATAATCCTTTACCGTTGCCAGAATAGCAAATATCCTTAAGAAAATATCAAATTATCAATTTCCATAGATTAAAATCAATTCATCTCTTTGCTTCAAAAAGTAACCATTTTTTAGCTAAAAAAAATTGCAGCCTAGGAAAAAATTAATAATTATTTATTTGTTTTTAGAGCAAAACTTTTCCACGAGGTAAAATTTTAAACCATGAGATTTTACAGCAACAAAAGAGCTTTTGGAAGGAATTCCCATGCTGCCGGCCTAATAACTGCGCTCAAGCTTGACTCAAGTGAGGGCGGCTCTAGAATAGTTATTAACTGACACATTAGACTGCGAAGATGAGGGTATGAAAGTGCACGCACACATGAGCTAGTTGACTTTGTCTCGCAAAAGGCATGTCAAATGTCACACAGCTTAGTCTGCGTCGCGATGAAAGCCGAGAGAGCTGCTCCCTGTGCAAAACTTACGCCAGCTGTATGTATTTGCGCGCTTCTACTTTGTGAATGTGCGCTGAACTGTGCAAGTCACGATTTTTTTTTATAAGACATCAAAAGTGAATTTATAATCTCTAACATGCTATAACTTTAGTAGAAAAATAAAAGCATAATTAGTTACGATTTATAAGGGAAGATAGAAATGAAATTTGCAAGATTATTTTATAAATTTTTGAATTTAATTCAAAGAAATGAAATATTTTTTCATATTAAATTTATCTTAAAATCATTTTATTTTTGTTCGTTTAAATTATGATTAAACTCCTAAAAATATTTACGTTTTATTGAAAAGTAGCTCTGCTTCATCCACGCAACGGACAGTAAACGTTGCCATGTTTGTTTGTGATTGAAGCGCGAATGCAAAATTACGCCTGCTCTATGATGTGAGCCGTTTTGAATTCTAAGGGCTGTCTAGAGATGAATGTGTTCATATACGCCGCACAAGTAATTAGGAGCCCAGAGCCTTGAGGTAAAGGTTCAGAGCATCCTTTTGACATCGCAACTGACAAAGGCTATTTTGCTTGATTAAACTCCACACGTGGAATTTGATGTTGCAAGAATTCTGTTCAGGTTTCGACGAAGACGCGGAGGCGAATTATCAACGAGGGTGAAACATTAAATATCCGGTTCTATACTTTGAGAATAATCTGGATTACTTAATTTTAGCGAGGACTCATTTTTGGGATCGTTAGTTGCGTCAATTTCCTAATGAAATTTTTTATAAACCGTATTGAAAATTTAAAAATTGTAATAAAAACCTCCTATTAATACAAATATAATAATAAAAAAGTCTAAAACATTTTAATCAATCAAGTTTTTTTATTATCTCAACTAATTTAAATGTAGAAGTAATTAAAACGGTCAAAAAGACTACTTTTCCAGTTCAAGAACTTGCATCATGACAAAATAATTACAATCCCAACTCTGAATGATTTGGAGCGTATGATATTAAAGCTCGAGAACATTTTGTAGAACTGCTTTGTTTGCTGCTTTCGTTGTTCAACAAATGCATAATACTCGCAGCTCGTTCTTGCTTGGTGCATTCATCACGCAGAAAACGCACCGCAGTGCAGATTTCTAAAGAGCTTGCTTTTATAATTATTCCAGAGGAAACAAAAAACAGCCGCTCGCACCGCACGTTACATCTCTTTGGCGTGCATTCATTCGCTCGCATGAAATATGGACGTTGTGCAAAAAGGATGACGCTTGCAAAATGCTTCACTACTTAATCCGCCAACATGCTTTAATATCAGTTTATTACTTTTTTCTGCGAACTCGGCTGAAAACACTCGAGTTTTTTTTTACAGAAACACGAGAAATTTCGCTCTTCGGCCATTATTGAAATTGCTGCCCTGTGGATAATTTTGCCATGGAAACTTGTGTGGGTATATAACGCGCTGCGCTCTTCCGGCCAGAAGACTTCTGCTGATTGCTGTTGTTGGATATTGGATATCGGCCTTGCGCTTTTATCGCAGCTCCATTATACGGCTCAATTCCATCATCACTCCATTCATCATATTGGATGGGCCGTTCCAAGGCGTACAGTGGCGTGACCTGCCATACTATTTTTTCAAACGAATTAAGTGCTGAAGTGTTAACTATTCTGAAAATTAAATAATATTTTATTTAAATACATGAATATTTGAGCCCGGAATTTGGTTTCATGTTTCAAAGTGATTTTTATTAAATTTTAAAAAGTTTTAAATATTTTCATTTTTTTAATTTTTAAATAAATGATTTCCTCATTTATAACCATATATTAATTTAAATTGATAATGATAATCATAATTTCCTAATTTTATAATAAGTGTTAAATTTTTTTATCATTTATTTAATTTAATTTGATGTGTCTGTCCCCAGTTTACGAAAATGAAATTATCAACTTGAATTGAAAGGCTGGATTGAATATCTAATAATGAAAATAACAATTGATCACTTTTCTTTCTACATGCACAAAAAATTTCAAAGATTCATAAAACAAAAAATAAATTGTGGGATTTTACTTAAAAAAAGAATTATCTAGAAATCAGAGTTTAATATTCTTTTCTTTATAGAATAAAATTATAAGATTCAATTCAAATTTATCCGGTTATTTCAATAATGAGCTTATTTTCAATGTATAATCCTCATTCTGCCACTGTTTGTGGTTTAAGCATACAACCTATGTATATTCCTACTTACCCCCATATAAGACCATTACGCACACAACAAAGGCAGAATGAGGTCGGTAGAGCGATTCCTTCAGGAAAATACAGACACGACTTTGTTTCCGCGGGTAAACGCGTCTGCTGAGCGATTCGCTAATGCCGATCCCATTTCAAAAGAATGGGAAAAACGTTTTTCCGCACATCCTTCCAATAATTGACGTCAGATCACTGGATAGATTGCTTCTTCTGCAGGGCAAATATCGAGTGAAGAAAAAAGCCACTTCTGCAAATTAACCCAATGGGAATTTCCTTTGTGTTCCAGAATCGAGGCTGTCGAGGCAGAAAAAGGTCATTTGCAGCGGCAAGGTGAGTTTCGAGTTTTGCAATTTGCATGTTGAACTTTGGGCCGTTTGCATGGGTAAACGGCTTGGAAATAGTTGATATGCCATAGCGTATGTGCGACAATTTCAATAACAGCCCGGTTTAATGTAGCATATCGCTCACGGTGCGCGGATTTTGTTTCATTTCCCGCTCGCAAAATGAAATGATTTTCGCTTCCTCTTCGCGTCCAACGCGTCCCTTTTGTGAAATATTGTAACTCATGCCGACGTGACTAACGCCGGTTTATTACACGCGCTTTTCATAAACGTGTTTATTACGAAATTCTGCTTTGAATCGTATTTTATTAAACCCTCTCGGTTGCCTATTTTGTTCGTGATTTCAGGCTGTCTGGGTTTATTAAAATTAAAGGAAAATGTCTGAATATTAAATCTCATTGGATGATAAATTTAAAATTTTTAATTTTATTTTGTAATTGACATTTCAAATAAAATAATTTTGAAATTATTAGAGGCTGCTAAAAAATACTCCCTATCGATTTAAAAATTAATTTGTGCGACTAAAACCTTAAAAAATGAAATTAATTAAAGATTTTTTAAAAATTATTTTATAACAATATAATTGTAGTGCATTGATATTTTTGCGTGTTAAAAAAAATCCTCAGAAACTCCCATTTTAAACTTTAAAAGAAGAAAAAACCTTAAAAATTAATAAAGCTTAAAAACCAAGAAGAAATCTTTTATATCTTTTATCATTGATTTGTTTCTCTCTTAAATTTAAAATGAGTTAATTATTTCCCACTTAAGAAGGGCTTATAAAGCTTTAAATTAATTAATTCTCTGCGTAATCGGCTTTAAAAATCTCTTTTTCTTAATTCTTTTTTGTATCTAATTTTTGGTTGGGAATTGCAGTGTTGCGCACGGAAGCGCCACCCGTCTTCATTTCCCGGCGCAAATCCCATTTTCTCTTGTCGCGGATTACAAGGAGCGGCGGCTTTGTTTGCCTCGAGATGTGACACTCGGCACTTTTATATCCACTTTATTAGCTGCCAACGCCTGGCCCGAGCGTTGCGACAAGGCGCTAATAACCTAGCCGTGAGCGTGCCCAAATCTTGTTACTTGCCATCTTCCGGCTCAATTTGCCTTTGCAATTTTCCCTGAAAGAGCTTCTGGGCAATTTTTCCGCTCAACTTTTGAATCTTCCTCCGCGTTATTTATTTTTGAAGTTTTTTTTTTAGGAAAATGACGATTTTATTTTTTAAATATTTAATTTGGTCTGTGGGTGGCAATAATGGCGAGCTCTTTCCAACAAAACTCGGGCTTCTAGTGCGGTCTCTGGAGAAATTTATATTGCCTGGAAAGATCTATTCTTGCTCTGGCTTGTTTACCAACTGGGCTTTTCTTCGTGTACGGTATAGGAACCGAAATTGAGCGCGCGTTCCCAATAGAGACATTGCAGAGTCAATAAATTACGCGTTAAATTGCGTTTTCCGTGCTCAATTGGACGGTTTTATTTTGTTGAAAGTGCGCAGTGACGGGGTAAATTAGAGGGAAACGAATTAGTTTTAAATGCGGAAAGGGCAGCACCAACAATTTCTACCAAAAGTAAACTTTATTAAAAAAAATTTCAAAAGATTTGAAAATTTTAATGTTACAGAAAAGATCTATTAAGAATGTAGAGTAAGCAGAGTAGAAAACTCATTCATGGATTTATGTTACGTACTGGCAAAAATTAAAAATATCAAATAAAAAAAAAATTAAATTTAAAATATTATCAATTTTAATATCCAAGATATTTTTTATCTTCCAAGCCTTGGACACTTTGAAAGCTAATGATTTCGTCAATTTAATTTCAAACCTAATGTTTAACAATTTTCAAGATTCATATTTTTTATTTACATATTTAGTTAAATTTTATTTACTTAAAATTTCATCTTAGTTTATAATTAGTATAAAAATATCTTCCTGAAAGCAATTGCCAACAATTTAACAAAAGGAAGCAAAACCCTAAAAATAAATCGAGGAAAAACTTTTTTGGGCAGGTGTTTCCGATCGTAAAGTAACAAACACTCTAATTAATTAAGTGCGATCACAGTCGGCAGCCAATAAATCAGAGGAAGTAATGAAGAAGTAAATAAAACGCGAGAGCGGACGATTTATTGCTTGGGCCACAAATCACCGTTTTCGGCTGATTGAGCCGTCTCAATCACACCGCGTACATATGATGCTAATGCTGTGTCACCCGTGCGGCGCCGACGATGATTTATTGTGTGCCCCCGCTGCCGCCGCCACTGCTTTTAAATTTATTACTCCATATTTGCGGTGGATGGAAAAGAAAACTCTGACGCATCTTCCGTGCACTTTATCTTGCGCGTTTTAATCTTTGCCAGCAGTTTTTGGGGCTCGTGTCGCGCACCTGTGCCAAACTTCTCCCCTTGAATACACAATTTTTGTCTGCAAAACACCCGCATGATGTGCATTTGTTATTTTAATTATAAAAAAGATGTCTATCATTAAAAATGTGTTGAAATTTTTTTAATGAAAATGACTAAAGAAAATTAATTTGTAAAATGATATATTTTTTGGCATTGTTTTAGCTTTAAAATTAACTAACTCTACTAAAATTTAACTTTTTTTGCATTTTCTTGTGACATATTAATAAAAAATAAATTGTAATGTAATCTGTGAAATTAAAGTATTAAAATGTGAGCAAAAAAGTTAAGTTACCTCTTTTTTGTTAAATAAAATACAAAACTATGCCGCAGTTTTAAGGTTTCCTCCTATTTTCACTGGACCAATTCACTGCGACCACCCTGTTTCATTGCATGGACAAAAAAAATTGCGGTTTGTCCTAAGAGCGACAACATCTTTGCTCTCTCCAAATCGGTCTGGTGCTCATCGCATTTTTATGCTTCTCGAAAATGTCTGCCTCTTTTTTATTCTCAAACTTCCTCTGGAGGAAAATTGTCAAAAAATTTCCGAAATCACCAACCATCAGAATCCTCTTTTTGTGCGAACTCGCTGGAGCAAAATCTCTTTCAATTTAGCGCTGGAGGCGGCTGCTGTGCCGGTGCAAAACGAGCGCACAATGAGGCTCGGAACCCCTGTTTCTCGCGCAGTTCGCACTTTTAATTTGCAGACGGAATCATCGAGCCGCGGCCAGACGGCGCACATGCCAGTCGGAATAATGAGAGGCGCAGACGTTTTGCATTTTTCATGGCTTGAAAACATGCTCGGCGTTTTTTGCCGGGAAAAGTTCAACGCGCAATTAGGTTCTTCACACAAAGACAAAAACTGAAATTATTCTAGTGAAGTTTATGCGTAAATGTCAAAAGTTTTTTTCCTTTTTTTTCCAACTCGTAAACTCCACCGAACTTTTGTGGCAATTAAATTACAATTTTCCCGCACCAGGGAATTTTTACGTACGTGGTCAGCAACATTATCGCGTTTTCACCATTATGATTCGGACTCAAGTGCAGCATTAGGGTGAGAGGACGTGGTTTTTTACTGTTGGAAAACATGCGAATGACGCATTAGATCAGCGAGTTTATTCTCGAACCACAGCTTTCGTGCTAATTGATTTGGTTATTTACGATATTTTCGGAGCGATCGTGGCGTCGAAACAAAAGATATCAACCACTAAAATATTTTAGAAAATTACCTAAAAATTACTGAATAGGTCATAAACTAACTTAGTAATTGGAGCCTTGAAAGCTAAACTGATCCAGCTTTTCTTTCGTCTGATAATAAAGTATTAATATAATTATATAAAAATTTCATTTAATATTTTAAAAATATGACAAAACTAATAAATTTAAAAATAAAACTTTCTTAGTAACTTGCAAAGTTAGCTGCTTTGTATGATAAAGATAAGGTTTCGTATTTTTGTTATTATTTTAAAATAAATCATTTTTATAATTTTTTTATGTGTACATATATATATAGAAAATATCTCCAAGCTTTTGTTTGTATTGAAAATCTTGAGGCATCTCGTAAAATTTTACTGCGTGGTGTTCAAGTTTATCTTTATGTCTGTCTGCGTTTATGCGGAAAAAGAGGCGCAAATTAAACCATATCTGCGTCGTCTATCCGGAGCGAAAATGACGCCGGGGTTTTCGGTGTAGGGCCGAGATTCAGTCAAAGGAAAGCAGCCACGCGGTATAAATCTCGACGCAAGTGTGTGTATAATGGCGAATAAAAAAAGAACGGGCGGCGGCGGTGGGAGAGCGAAATCTGTCATAAACAGGCCTGCTTGAAGGATGAGCATAAAAGAGCTGGGCGACTGTAAATAAGGCCCTTTGGTGTATTACAATGCATGGAATACATTTGCCTGTGCATATCGATTGTCTTTTATGGGCCGCGTAATGTACCCGCCGCGGAGAACACACAAGAAGAGCATTTTCGCTTTTTGTCTTTTGTTCCTTTGATGCTCCTTTTTGCCAGTGCAAAAAAACTATCGTCATAAATTTCACCAAATTTGTACCAAATTGAATAGTCAGTCGGAGAATGTCTTGCTTGGTTTAAATTCGCTCCGAATTTCTTCTGTCTACATGGATCTTATTTAGCAAATTGTTATTTTCCAAAAATATAAAACTTAATTTTAGTTTCTAGAATTTTAATATTTTCATTTATATTTTGTTTAAAATAGAAAGTAAATTCTAAACTTGATGCAAATAATTATAAAAGTCTTGTTTTGAAGTGCCTTGTCTTCTTTGAAAATCAGTTTCATAGTAAATTTTAGAACAAATTAAGCAAAAATTTTATATAATATTCATATTATGTAATTTTATATAACTTTTATAGCGTTTTATAGGATGTGAATTGATTTGAATTTTGATTGGATTAACGTTTTTAGAGATTTTACGATTCACAAAGGTTTTTCTTAGGAATTTTTGTATGTGGTTCTGAATGTCAATAAATAGCTTTGTTAGCTTACGCGATTAATCAATATTAAAGCGGGATTTCAAAATGAAAACAATTGTCAGCCATATTGGCCACATTTTGCATGCAAATCTCGCGCTTTTGTCG